TAGTCCGATTACTGAGGCTAACAAACACAACAATCTGTCCGAGTCTGTTTCGTTCTGTCTTAATTGCACAACGGTTCCCATAGTAAAATGCGTAATTGCTTTGTCGAAAGATTACGACCGTCGGATTGCAGAAGTAGAATTACGTCTAAATGAAAGAATTATTTCCTTAGAGGCTATTATAGCAAGGTTTGTATCTCCACCATCTCCCGTACTCACCGCCACTAAACCGAAGAAAAGAGCCAGACGTTCTCGCGAAATCACAGCGGCGAATATCTTGGGAACCCCGAACCAATCAGGCATCACGTACGAACAAAACATCCTCAGTTCCTCAGCCATTCCGCCCTTATCCAAATCCTCAGTAAGAACCAGACTTCCGACTGACCAACAAAGTCTGAGTATCTCTAAAGGCCAATCAACTTACGCAGCGACTATTGCTAGAGACACTGTAAACAAGACTTTAAGCACAATATCTGCGACATGTGTAAAAGACCAAGCACGAAATTCAGAGACTTGTTTTAGTCCATCCATCACGACGTCTCCCAGATTACCGAACACCAGGAGGAACTACGGTGCTCCAACACTCATATGCACCAACGTTCCTGAATCCAAAGCAAATTCTCTGAGAGGTAAGCAACGGGACGATTTGAACCAGTGGAATCTCATTTGCGATCGCATAGGTGCTAGGGTCCAGCCGACTAACATCACGCGTGTGACGAGACATCCAAACTCCGCTCACTATGGTGAGCCCAGAATTCTGCGGATAACACTGGCATCCACTGACGATGTAGAGGCGGTGCTCTTATCGGCGTATCACCTCCGAGGTGAAGACAGTAAGATCCGCATCTTTCCGGATGTTCCATGGAGCGAACGTCAGCGAGAAAAAAAACAATTTAGACGATCGCAACACGGCCAGCTGGCGAAAAACCATTTTAGTTCATGGCGTGCCCGAGCTACCAACAGCTAGGGACGAGGAGGCTCATGCTCACGATCTGGAAGAATGGCGGTACATTCGTGAAACTCTATCTGCAGGTGACGTCATCTTTCAGTCGATTTCTAGACTGCCCGTTTCACCTCTTTACAAAGGTAATGGTCCAAGGATACTGAAACTTGTGGCTCACTCCCAGCAGATGGCGGCGAACTTAATGCGTAACTGGCATAAAATGCACAATGCACTGCCATCGGAACTACGATTTAAGGTACCATTTATTGAATCGAAGCCACCGGAGGATGTGACACCATCTGTGGCTCAATGTGATATAATAAACGGAGCCGAAGACACTGCATCAAGATTATCAACCACTGAAAACGACGCTATTGAAGAGCGTTCTGCGTGTGCAGGAACGACGTTAGGTGGGCTGCGGGCCCGTGAAAAATGTTCATCGATAAACTGCGCAAAAAACGATCAGGTGCCGGCCTTTCATCGGCCGGCTTGAATCCAACTTCGTGTAATCCTCCACAAGCTCTTTTGGTGCTCAAGCAGCTGTCCTGTATGTACACTAATGCTCAAAGTCTAATTAACAAACTACCCGAACTGCGACTACGTCAAAGGTCCAAATCCTGTGACCTCGTCGCTATAACGGAGACGTGGTTGCGCCCGGATATCACAGACACGGAGGTCGAGCTACCAGGCATGTCCGTCGTTCGGCGCGATCGATCCAGTAAAGGGGGCGGGGTGGCTCTGTACTACCGCAGTGACCTCCAATGTGAGCCCATAGAAGACGTGTACAGTAACGTGCAGGATACTCTTTGGTGTCGGCTGCGTTTAACAGGCAACGACGTCTGTCTGGTGGCGGTCGTTTATCGACCTCCATCCTCTACACCCGAGATGGACTTCAACCTCGCGTCTGCGCTGAGGCTTGTGATCAGCAGGAGATACAGCCATATTCTTATCGCTGGTGACTTCAATATCCACGCTCTGGATGCCCAAGTAACACCTACGGAACAGTTCAAAGCGGATCTACAAGACCTTGTCTCCAGTTTTCCGCTTTATGGCCATATCGACAATCCCACCAGATTCAGAGCAGCAGAAAGGCCGTCCATCCTGGACGGGATATTTGCCAACGAAGAACTCATGGTCGAGAAAGTAATCATCGACGCTCCTTGGGGTTGCAGCGATCATGCAGTTTTACTCTTCGATTATATATGCTACGCAGAATACCCTGCGGATACTACACGGGAAAGCCGAGTTATCATACGGTACGATGAGCTGGCTCGACTTGCAGAGACAGCCAACTGGAACTTTCTGACAGACGAAGTACCGACAATCGCATGGCCACATTTCGTCAACCAATTTAGCACGCTCGTCGAAGAGGCATCCGAAACTAAGGTTGTCCACTCGAAGAAGACTGTTTCATTTGTGCGAAGTAGGACACGGAAATGTATGGCAGTGAGGAACTCGGCCTGGCGTATCTATAAGGAACACCCGAGCACGGAGAGCTGGGCGGCCTATGCAATTCAACGTAATCATTGCACTCAACTCGTTCGTGAGGATAAACTGACATACCAACAGCATCTGACGGAGCGCATGGTTTCGAATCATAAGCTGCTCTACCAACATGTAAACAACCTGCGCAAGGTGAAACGATGAATCCCTCCTCTTCAAACGCCAGATGGCATGACGCTGACTACGGAGGATGCGGCGAACGCCTTGCAGCTTCAATATACTTCGAACTTTCAATGCATTCCTTGGCCATCTGTTCCTTTGTCAGCAGCTGTTATACAACCAAAACTTACGCACATAACTTTCACGGCGGGGATGGTATTAAAGAAGTTGTTGTGTATGCGTAAGCACAGCTCTCCTGGAATCGACAACATTCACCCTAAGTCCCTTGCGGTAATGGGAGAAATTTTAGCAGAGCCTCTGGCACGATTCTTCCAACGCTGCTTCGATCAGATGTCTGTACCCGAGATGTGGAAATGTGGGATCATAACCCCAATTCACAAGGGCGGTAGCCGTTCTGATCCAGCCAACTACCGTCCTGTAACCCTTCTCCCGGTCCTGTCGAAGATTATGGAAGCTATTGTTGCTGACGTATTAACAGCCTATCTAGAAGAGTCTGCCTTCCTTGCACATGAACAGCATGGTTTTCGACGGAATCGATCGTGCACCACAAATCTGCTGCTAGCAAGATCGAGTTGGACCAAATTAATTGACAGCGGTGCAGGAGTGGACGTGGTCTACCTAGATTTCTCAAAGGCCTTCGATCGACTAGACCATGGAATCCTGATCTGCAAACTTCAGAGCTTCGGCATTGGTGATCCGCTCCTAGGATGGATCACAAGCTTTCTTCTCCACCGGAGTTTAGAGGTAAAAGTGCGTGGGTCCCTGTCCCACCCAATCCAAGTCGAATGTGGTGTACCACAAGGATCGGTACTGGGGCCACGATTGTTTTTGATGTATATTGACGACATAGCGGCCCTCATTCTTTCCAACTGCCTACTCTATGCCGACGACATCAAGGTCTGGAGAGCGATCAATACACCAGACGACTCCGCAATACTTCAAGGGGATCTGGATAAGGTGTATGCGTGGTCAGTTCAGAACCAACTCCCATTCAACACAGAAAAATGCAGAGTATTACACTTACGTCACCAATCAGCATTTTTCTATAAATCGGGTGACCATGTGCTTCACACAACTGCTGAGGAAAAGGATTTGGGAGTCTTGATTCAGTCCGACCTTGGTTGTTCAGCCCAGGTAAAGAAAGCCTCGAACGCGAGCATTCGAAATTTGGGCCTTCTCAGGCGCACATTTGGACGCTTCGATCCATCCGTTTTTCACCAACTTCTAGGTGCATGCATACGACCACACGTGGAGTATGCAATACAAGTCTGGCGGCCGTGGCTGAGGAAAGACCTCTCTGATTTAGAGAAACCTCAACGACGCGCAACGAAGAACGTGAAAGGTTTAGGCCAGTTACGCTACGAAGACAGACTGAGATCGCTCGGGATATTTAGTGGTCAATATCGAAGACTACGGGGAGATTTGATTTTGGCTTATCAGATTCTGACAGACCCCAATCATACCTGCCGCCATCTGCTGGAGCCCAGTAACAACAACACCCTGAGAGGCCATCATCTGAAGCTGGCAGTGCAGTACAGCCGTTTGGAATGTCGACGGAATTTCTTTTCCGTGCGTGTTTGCCAAGCCTGGAATGCTCTCCCAGAATCTGTAGTCAGTGCACCAAACCTGATCGAGTTCAAAAATCGAGTTGATAGTGCACTCACTTCATTGCACTATCTCCCATAGTACAGTCTAATTTTGAGAGGTCCAAAATCCATACTTTAAAAATAATTTTCCCTCACGCTTATTTCAACAGGGGATTTATATTTTGACGCTTCAAACTCAAACACTTTGCCCCATGCGAATTTCAAGGGGCGGTGACTCTTTTAACCAAATACTCCATACCTCATGATCCCCTCCGGAGTTATAGTGGACTATTATTTTGACACTTCAAACTCGGTGAGTCCACAAGCTTGTAGTGACTCGCTGTTAAACGATTTTACTGAATTGGTTTCCATTGAATTTTTCACATTTCTATGATTTTCGCACTGATCACCCTACGGGATTTGTCAAGCTTTAGCTTTTATACCCGCATAAATCCATTGTTCCATTGTTATCGACTAAAGTAAATGCATATGACGACGTAAATACTCGCTAAATGAGCACATATAAGAAATTGGTTATAAATGAATCCGTGATAAGTACAAAATGTCCGAAAGTTATTTAAAAAATACCACACGATAAAATTACGCAAGTTTACCACAATTTGCGTGAGCGACGTGTGCAAGTAAGGGGAAGATTATCAAGTACGCAGAACAAACCAAATAACATGTAATGAATTGTATCCACATTAAAAAGACCTAGTTTAAGTGTAAGTTGGTTTAGCCCAACTGCGGTGAAGAAGCATCACGAATGCAACATATATATATATATATATATATATATATATATACTTCATATATTTATTTACTGGCGTCTTTTGCTTTTTGTATTTTAGCTACGCGTATTGGTTACGCTGTCGTATTGCCCATGCTTGAAAGTCTTTTTAAACTGCTCAAGCCACCTGAGACGGGAAACAAAGACAAAGGTCGTCGGAAATCGGTGCCTTCCGATGTGCGTGCTTACATTCGGGCCTTGGTAGTTACTGCCTACGCCCGATTCGGACCAAAGTTATCCACAGAAACTGCGCAGATCGTCGGCCAAGTGAGTTTCTACGTATTGTTTTGGGCGTATTGAGTACTTGGTTTCTGGAGCAACTGTATTCTTAACGGCGCTACGTTGTGTCATACGTATGTGTTTATGATCGGATTTTTGAAGGTGTTAATGTGGTTTTTTGTATTAGGGCGCTGTACTGATCCGCTGCGTTTTTGGAGAGGTCATTTCTATGCACTGGTTGTGTGAACGGATTTGGAGGCGCATTGTTGGTCCGTGATTTGAGAGGAACCTCGTTCTCTGGTTTTCATGACATTCCTTGAGAAATTATTGCCCTTACGAGTGGCATCATACTGTTTCTACTTCCGACCTCAACGGCCTCGTGTATTCACGTCGCGATAATCGCATTTTCGTCTCATCCTTCTTGCAATTGTCTGGGTTACAAAGTAGCAGCATGGGGATTTATTTGGTGGACTCAGACAGCTATCCTACTCCCGGAAAAAAAACATTAGTCAACGGTTTCATCAAATTGGAAATTGTAAGCAGTGCGCATACCGTCGGACGCATTCGGGGCCACACCCGCCACTTGACTGTTATCAGTTTGTGGTTAAAACAACTGGGCTACCGGAGATGGTAACGACCATGGTAAATAAGTTAGTAGATGTGATATAGCGCCACTCACTATCCACTGCTTTGCACCTTAATGCTGAACATCGAACCAAATTTATGAACCTTAATAGTCCTTTCTCCTTCTTACATTGCACTTCAGTCGCTTTACGACTCACACTTCATGTGACTCATTCGTTTGCTTTTTTGCGCTGCTCTTTTCGGCACTTTCAAAGCACTTCTGGAGTCAATCCACCAAACCCATCAGTGACCGAAATAGCTGAACTGCTCATAGGCATACACTTTTGCGTCAATTGTCAAAGTACATCAAGCGAGACGAGTGGTCCTGCAACAATGGCATGTACTTTGAACCCGCAAATCGTCTGTTAATACTTGTGGCCAATGCGGATTGTTTGTCCATGGTTGCGATGCGATTATGGAACCATGCAGCTGTCTGCACTTGCCGTTGCCCCCCTCCAATAACCGCACAGTGTTTTCATTCCCCACCCAGGCAGTGCGACGTTAGTCTTTACAATGGGACTCACGGATCATCAGTTCTCCATTTGATTATACTGTATTCACTGCAGTACCCTGTTTGTCCCACTTTTTCCATGCTTAGCATCTAAGGCGTTACCCGCGTGTATGCTTTATTTAATGATACTCAAAGAACGAATATTTTAGCCATTACACCATCCCTAATGTGCGCTGTGTTAAATGGAATTAAGGTTGTTTTCAAATTTTTTTCCGCTAGAGGGGATAATGATTATAACCTTTCTCCAATTATACCCCGTGTTGTTGATGTTACCCTGCTCTAGACGACTCTAGCGGCCAAAAACACGTGTTTCCAATGCTTTCTCACTACTTGTGCATTTTTTATTTTAAAGCCTCATCCAGATCATGTCTGTTCTTTGTGCTTTCGTAGTCCCACACTTAATTATCCACCTCATGCGCGGTTGCCTTTATTTCTTCACTCTTACAAGAAATCTTCGCTGCTCTCTTACCTGAGCGAATTGGAGAAACTGATGCCTCATGCCCCCTATCCTCATTGTATTCCAAACAAAATCATTAACTGGTAGATATTTGTTCGATTCATTTATAATTCTTTTGAATATTTTGTGCTCTACAGGACTTGTCATTGTTCTGATAATATAAAATGAGAGAAAAATTGTTCTTTTTAGTTTAAATGAAATGGATCGCGTGGCTGCGATTTTCGGGCATTGACAGGTAACATCATCTACCTCGTCATCAGGTCAATCTGTGTCGCTGTTATCATCCTCATCATTATCATTCTTGTTGTCATCATCCTGCCACCCTACTTATCACTGTCATCGTCATCCAGATCACTATCGTGGCCTTCATTCTCTCTCTTATTCATTACCGCAAAGTTGAATTCGAATTAACCACATCTTGCGAAACATAAATACTGTGCCATGGGTCGACTTAGCCTAAATTGATTGGCTTTTTCCAGAGAACATTGTGTTATATATGCAGACCTCATACTTCGGCTTGCAGTGTGTTTGTTGTAAGTAATGATGATGTGCATGTTTACTGTCACCATCAACAATGAGGTACAAAATGTGTGACCTTCAGTCGAACTGGGTATTCTATAGTTTTTTCAGACAATTGAATCCATATAGCTTTCAAGTTCCTCCTTAAGGAAATCATGTTCCTCCATAGATCTTTCTACGTGGTGTAATAACGCTTTCATGTTACATCCAACGAGCGCAAACGCTCCTAAAATTATATGCTGTTCGTTGAGTCACTAACCTCAAAGGAGCAGATATTATAACGTATGAACACAAAGCACGTGATGTTTTATTTGGATTTTTGTACAGAATGGACCAGAGCATTTAGGGGCGTTCATGCCCCCTGGATTCATCTTGCAAGCGTTTTGGACCTTCTTGAAAAATCTCTTGAGGAACATGATTTCCTTAAGGTGGGATTTGAAAGCGCTATGGGTTATTTTGGCTGAAAAAAGGTATAGTCGGCATAACGATTGTTGGTTGCTTTGTGGGAAAGAAGGTAAGCCGCAAGAGCGCGTTACGTTCCTCCGGGGGATAGGACTACACGAATCAAGCGCAGTCGAGGGTTTGGGACGTTAACCAATCTAGTCAGTTTGTTGACCATTTCTTCTCAACCTCCTCCACTTCCATGACACAAACGTTACGATGACGATGCCGTTGTAGTGTTCATAGTTTTTTTATTTTTTGCGCTTTCCTCATTTCGTTTTTCTATGCGCCTTGTACCGTCGTTTTAATTGATCGTTTTTTCATATACAATAATTCTCAACCACGAACGACGCCTTCAACTTTCCTACTGCGGCATGTTGCGATCGCTTTGTTGGTGTGCTTGGAAAGTTTGAGCTTCGCGGAACCAACTCCGGAATATCATATCAGGGAGTGTGCAATATCAGTGGAGTTAGTCCAACCGTCACTACTGAAGGTCAGCGTGTTGATACCTTTATCTGACACTAATCCTTTCCTTCTGGTGCGGTAGTGTAAGACTACTTTTCACTCCACTACTTACTTGGTGACCCCTGTTTTTCTTTTTTTCCTACTGGATCATTTTTTCGTTTGCATAATGTCGTCCAGTACCACTCCCCATATTGACCCTACTGAAAATTTTGTTGGTTTTTCCTTACCGGCTTTTGACGTTAACAATGCACGTGTCTGGTTTTTGCAGTTAGAGGCTCTTTTTCGTTGCCGTAGAACCACTTCCCAAAGTTCTATGTTTTCCTACGTCGCTACCCATCTTCCCACGCACATAGCCGGCGATGTGGTTGACCTACTCGACCCTGTTCCTACTGATTCTCCCTACGATAAGCTTAAAGCTTCTGTTTTGAAACGCCTTACAGCTTCTGATGAGACCAGACTTCATCAACTTCTCTCCGGAGTTGAACTGGGTGATAGTTCACCTTCACAGCTTCTCCGTTAAATGCGCTCTCTCGTAGGTTCCTCTAAAGTCGACGACAGTGTCTTACGTCAATTGTGGCTAAAATTTCTTCTATCCAACACTATGGCGATTCTCGCTGTATCCGCCGACGATTTGTCACTTGACAAACTGGCAGAAACGGCCGACAAAGTTCATGAGGGTTTCTTTCAACGCCCAATTTGCCACGCTGTTGCCACCCCACCTGAGACTTCCTCGTCATCAGATCCCATTGAATCCATTTGTCAGAGACTGTCCATACTCGAACTCGCCGTTTGGAGAGGACGTCGCCCCCGCAGTCGAAGTTTTAGATCCACTTCGAGAAGCAGAAACAGACACGCTAGGAACACTGGACAGCATATTTGCTGTTATCATCGAAGTTTTGGTGACGCCGCTAAAAATTGTCGTCCTGGTTGCTCGCATCCGAAAGCTTTCCCTAAGACTCAACCGGGAAACGCCCCAGCCAGCCAGTACTGGCGACGACTTCGGCTGGCACATCTTCTAGTTGCCTGCTTTTTGTCCGTGATTCCACAACCAACCTTTCATTCTTGGTTGACACTGGAGCCGAAGTCAGCGTTCTGCCTCGTGGAATGGAAAAACGCTACCTCATTCCCACAGGACCTACTCTCCAGGCGGCTAATAACACGAGAATCCAGACCTACGGTCAGAAATCGCTTACTCTCGATCTTGGTCTTCGACGAACATTTTCTTTCGTTTTCCTAATCGCAGATGTACAACGCTCTATCATTGGAGTCGATTTCCTCACCCAATTTGGTCTTATTGTTGACTTACGTAGCAGGGAACTTCGTGATAGTATCACCTTCCTCACCACTCCGGGCAGAGCCACTTCGATCAGCTCGATCGGACTTCGAATGACTCTACCTACTAACACTGTGTTCACCGAGTTACTCCAACAGTTCCCCGCGTTTTATCTGCCATTCAATAATTGTCCCGCAACTAAACAGGAGATTGTGCACCACATCCTCACTCGTGGACCACCGGTCGCGTCTCGACCACGCCGACTACCACCCGATAAACTCGCCAACGCCAAAGCCGAGTTTGAGCACATGCTCCGTCTTGGTATCGTCCAGCCTCCTAATAGCCCACGGCCTTAACCTTTGCACATGGTCCCCAAAAGGTCTCGTGGAGATTGGCGACCTTGTGGTGATTACCGTCAGCTTAATAATGTCACTGTCCCTGACAGGTATCCCGTACCACATATTCACGACTTTTCTATTTGCCTAGACGGCAAAGCAATTTTCTCTCAAATTGACTTGGTCCGGGCATATTACCAAATTTCTGTCGCCCCTGATGACATTCCTAAGACAGCTATAACCACCCCCTTCGGTCTTTTTGAATTTGTCCGTATGCCCTTCGGACTACGAAATTCAGCACAAACATTTCAACGATTCATTGACCAGGTTCTCCGAGGACTTGATTTCGTTTCTGCTTATATCGAAGACATCCTAGTGGCCAACTCTAACCACGAAGAACATCTTTTTCATTTTCGCCAAATCTTTTAGCGTTTTGATCACTATGGCGTTACCATCAACGTGGACAAATGCGTCTTTGGCCAGTCCAGTGTTGATTTTCTCGGTCATCGAATCGATCGCACCAGAATCAGTCCACTCTCGGAGAAAACAAAAGCAATCACGGAGTATCCGATGCCACAGTCCTACAAAAGCCTGCGCCATTTCCTCGGTATGGTGAATTATTACGGCCGCTTTATACCTGATTGCTCTAAACTGCTTCAACCTGTGATGGGAGTATACACTCGAACGAACGTGCGGTGCCAGCCCAGCAAGGAAGCCGTTAGGCTGCCGCAAGAAAAGGTGGCAGCTAATTGGACGTTCACACGTTTCTCGCATGCACGCTGATTGGCCAACAGTTGGACGCATTGGAGTGAGTTTGTTTGACTGAATCAAAGGAAAAATGTCATGCATTCACAAAGGTCGTTAATTATGGATCCAACTAGCTGTATATACCGATATGTTTCACTCGTCCTCTGCCGGCGTTTTCGCCTGGTCCTTTTGTTTGCAGAATATACGTTTTGTCCCTGAAGGACCGACTTTTCACATGGTGTCAGAGAAGGAGAAGAACATTAGTACCACCCAGACGATGATTGGAGCTGCACCGGCTATTCAAATGCCTGCCCCGCTGAACATGGATGAACGCAGTTTGGCAAGCAACTGGCGTTTGTGGAAGAGCAAATGGATGGATTTCTGCACTTTAGCGCGTCTGGACAAACAACCGATGGCGTACCGCTTGGCCATGTTTCGACACGCAGCAGGAGATGATGCGCGCCGCGTGCTAGAGACATTGTGTTGCGACAAGAGCGAAGGTGCCAACAATCTGGAGACAGTTCTTGAGAACTTCAGTGAATACTGCGAAAGCCAAACAAACGAGACATTTCAACGCTACCTCTTCTTTTCGCGGAACAGCTGGCCAGGCGAATCCGTTGACACGTACGTCACTGAGCTAAAGATTTTGGCCCGATCCTGCAGTTTCTGTAAATGCATGGCGGACAGTCTCATACGGGACCGCATTGTTCTTGGGATCAATGACGAAGGTTTGACGAAGCGACTATTACGAAAGCGCAACCTATCTCTGCAGCAATGTATCGACATCTGTAACAGTGAGTCCTCCACTGCCTATCAGTTCCAGCAGATGACAATCACAGGTGATTCAGAGTTGTGCGCCGTTTCCAGGAGCAAAACTACGAGGGCCACGACCGCGCGACAGGAGCCCTGCAACTTCTGTGCAACACGACATCCGAGGAACCGCGAACAGTGTCCGGCGTGGGGCCGCATTTGTGTCAAATGTGGGAAGCGCAATCACTTCGCCCGCTGCCGTCAGTCGACAGATGTCAGTACACTCGTTCCAGACAAATCAACAGAAGACACTGAACAATCGATTGGTAACGCGTCTCGGAAAGCGTCGCAGAGGTGTGTCTATGCAAGTCTTCTGATCGAGGGACGATCTGTGCGATTCCAGTTAGACACAAGCGCGACGATCAATATTCTGCCCAGAAAGCACTGCCGCGGCGTGCAAATTCAATCGGATCTAGATTATTTGCGCATGTGGAATGGTTCCAGACTCAAGCCAAAGGGCTCAGCGACAATTGAAGTGGTCAATCCGAGAGACGATG